AGAGAGAGAGAGAGAGAGAGAGAGAGAGAGAGAGAGAGAGAGAGAGAGAAATAGAGAGGAAATATTATAAAAATTACGTTATAAGAATTTTTCAAATAAAAAATTATTTGCGTAAAGTTTTTATTCATTTACTTGAAATTAAAAGATAAAAAATGTATATTCGTCTTTTAATTTATGAACGATAAAAATAATGAAAAGTTCAATAATGAGAGAATCGCCGAGTACAAATAAAAATGATAATTGAACGTATTGCATTGATTTGAATTGATTGTAAATAAATAATAAGTGATAAGTTGATTTTGGTAATAAATTTACCTTTAACGTTTCAGCGAAGAAGTAACTTTGTTGAACGTCATCTTTGGGAGAGTTGGCTAAGTAAACATTGTGAAGTCCTGTGAATCCTCCTGGGACTCGACAATGTTTTTCTAATGCTTGAACGGCTTCCCATCCCCATTCACGATACTTTGGATCTTTTGTCAATCGCCACATAACGAAATATGATTCGAACGTCTGAAAACGATGAAACGATGACAAAGGTTTGCAAGAGCCACACAACATTTTATTTTGATAACACGCGTCGAGTGTTTACCGAATTTCAAAAGTTCGATCGGATGTTTAGAAAACTTTAATTATTTTTACTTCCTCGAAAGGAGGAGAAGAATGATCGATAAAAAAAAAAGTAATAAAAAGTAAAATTCGATGGGGCTGACATATTTTTGTTTGTATTTTATTGTAAAAAAAAAGAAAGAAATGTATTCACCTCAGGTCGTAGAATATAATATTTTTCGCCAGTCTTCAAACTCCTCGCCTCGTTCCCTTCGATAAAATGAAAAGCTTCTGGACCAAGTTTCGTCACACTTCTGTCGTAGGATTCGTGACAGGTGTTGGTCAAGCCTGCGGCTATGCCCATGTACTTATCCGACACCTCGTTCTCTAACGTTTTTGCTCCCAATGCGAACATGCCACCTGTCGAGTATAATATAGTTTTCTTAAGTATATATATATATACCTATATATATATATATATATATAAGAAGGTTAGGAATAAAAGGAATAAAAATTCCAATTAAATTCAACTCACCGGCAAAACAAGCTAAGTGACCCATTTTGTGTTCAGGTCTGTCATATTTCAAATCCGATACATAAAGTAGTTTACCAGGTGATGTCTTGATCATGTGTTCGCTTATAGCAGCGATTGCCTCGTCGTACATTTCACGAGCTTCTGTGTCGGCTTTTCCTGATTGGATCCAAGCTTTTAAAAGATACTCGTAGAAACTGTCACCTAATCCTCCTAGCGACATGTGATCTGAAATTACATATTATTAAATAAATGTTCATTTTGATAAGACCAATTTTATTAAAATTTATATTACGAGGGTGCAATTTTTTATCTCATTCTTTTTCTATGCACGTATAAATGTATATTCCTTCTATTCTTTAAAAGATATCAAATATATCATGAATGGATCACACAAGATTCGATGTTCAAACCATTTGAATCGTTTTATAGAAAGCATGAGATTCCATTTCCAAAGAAAGCCATGTCCTTTCTTTTCCTACCTACGAGTGATCGAAATTTGCATTTATAGAAGTACCCATAACATTACTTTTTATATGCTCCATCAACGGCTATGGGTAATTCAACAGAATCCTCTAACTTTACTTCCTTTGTTTTGTGTTTCTATTTTCCATATAGGCGAAAATTCGTTAAAGAACATTCAAAGTAAGTTATAAAATCAAAAAGTAATTTGTATCACTTTTCTTGATTAAATTTCTTGTTTTCCTACCTTTTGGACAATAAAACGAATTTTTCTAATTACATAGAATGTTCTGTAACTGGTGGTAAAAACAACCATGGAGGACTCTGTACAAAAAACCAATCGATCGAAATTATTTAAACATAGTTTTCCACACTGTGTTAGGCTCAAAACTTTTCATTCTATATATTATACTTATTGTTAACTGAGATCCATACAATGCTATATTATAATTCGAATTATTAATTAATAGTTCATAACACGATTTAATAATTTATAATTGAATGTTACAATTGACAATATAATGTTATAGTCATATATCGAGGAATAAAAATAAAATGTAAAAATAAAAATAAACAGGAAAAGAGATTATTCTCGTTAGAAAAACGATACTTAACATAAGATTCGCGTATCGTTGAATACAAATTTCGAATGGATGGTGAATTTTGTAATCAAGAATTTATGCTAAATAAAATTCCAATTAAATATTTGATTATTCTCGGTTTCAAAATTTATCAGATATGAACGAATTTCCCATAGATTGGAAAAAAATAAAATAATAGATAAATAATTAATCTTATTAAGTTTTATATTTCTCGAATAACATATGCGACGAGTCATACGTGAATCATCAAAGGAAAGAAGAAACGTTTCCGAAACTCGTAGAAGTAGTCGTTTTCAAGCGGCCGAGTAACGAATTCAAATGAAATTCTCAGAGCGTGGTTGTGAAAAATGTACGATGGTTTGGAAAAAAGCCAAAGTCGAATACAACTTTGCTAACCACTAAAGACGTTTCCTTTCCTTTTACCGCGGAAGTAAATTTCTTTTTTTATCTACACAAATGTGGCTACAAATTTTGAATACTTCATTTTAAAAAGAAAAGAAAACAAGAGAAAAGGAATAGGAAATGAAGAAAGACAAATGGATGTTTCATTTTGATAACGCGAAATAATTCATTCTTCGAGAGAATAATTATTCATAGTATCGTTAATAAAATCACATGTCGTCTTTCGAAAGAAAAATCGAGATATGGCGGTGGTGGTGCACCACATAAGCCGTATACTCAAAGTAAACGTCTACGAAAAAGAAGTAAAAGAAAAAAAAAGGTCTTTTAAGAATGATCTATGTAGGTTTGAGAAGATCGTTCAAGCCGACGTACGATGTTACCAAAGTAGCAAGAAAAATAGGAATCCTTCTTCTTCGGTGAATAGGAATGAAAAAGAAGAGAGGTACTTTTGATAAATGTGATATTCAACTTCTTCGAAATGTGATGTCATGTTTGAACTAACGTCAAGAGTTGCAAAGAAAATACAAAAAGAGAAAAAAGAAAAACAAAATTATTACAATTCTTTTCACGAATGTTCGTTGAACAATGAAAAATGACAAAAAAACTATGGACTTTTTATGTTCACGAATTTCAAAATAAAACGTAAAAAAAAGAACAGTTGATGTGTTTTTGCTTCAACTTGTGATGTCACGTTTGAAGTAACGTGAACTGTTAAAAAAGGTAGAGTTAAAGTGAAATTATTAAAATTCTTTTCGCGAACGTTTTGTGAAAAATTGAAAATGCACAAAAATCGACTTCATATGGTTATAAATGAAGGGACGATCGTAATAAATAAAATAAAATAAAATAAAATAAAGTATTGCCATAGAGAAATAAGACAAGGATAGTAAAGTTTTTGATAGTAAACTTACGTTGACCCCATTTTCCAGTTCTCGGATGAATGTAATTTGGATAGAGACCCTTCGGCTTTTCGAGGTTTTTCAGCACCTTCCTCACGTTCTCGACTTTGGTCTTGAAGATGGGATTCCCGGTAATGTCACTCAGGTAAGTGAATTCCAAATGCATCGTTCCGATCTCCGACAAAATGCTGCATCCACTACTTGCCCAACCATAATTCTTACTAGCCTATAAAATAAATATACTTTATTTAATGAACCATACGCGAGACAACTGAAAGGTTATTTAAGAAAACTTATTACACAAAGTTAACAAGGAAAAGAAAAAAAAAAAAAGAGAAAAGTAATCAGAAAGAAGGAAAATTAGTGGAACAACCCCTTCGAAAACACGAAAATGTGAAGGAGGTAAGAAAGGGACCGACCTTATCGACACTTACTCTTTCAACCCTTTTCTTCCCAATTCTCCTCGCCCTTTGGGCATCATCATTATCCGTTCTAATTAAGAATTTGCATATTAATCGCGAGCCGGCACTTCGGAGGACGTGACTTGACGAAAATCGTTTCAATTAAACTGCCCGTACCACGTAAGAAAAAAGAAAGGCCAATGGTATCGATGGTGTTGGTTGTTCAGGGCAGAATCTTTCGCGAACTCACCAAGATTTTTTGCGATTCTAAACCGAGCGTGCGCGCCGCGCATAAAGAAAAGAAGAAAGAGAGAGAGAGAGAGAGAGAGAGAGAGAGGGAAAGAGAGAGAAAATAGAGAAAGAAAAGGGTAGAGAGTTCTTTTGTCCTCACCGAAACGAGATCACCGAGGCGTTCTCTGATTTATCAATTAAGTTAACCCGATTTTATAACGGCTCGTTCTTTTCTTATTATCTTTCATCGTTTGTGAGATACGAATCAATTTTTATATACACTTTTTATCATTACTAAATATAATAATAAAAGTAATAATAAAGATTTGTAATAATAAAAATTTATAAAAAATTAATACAATAACAATAATTTACTATATAATTATGATTGAAAAGAAATGATCGTTAAAATTAGTTAATCTTTTATTTAATTCACTCATTTGTGTAATGTAAATTAGTGAGTAAGAAGTATAAGAAAAAAAAAGAAGAAGAAGAAGAAGAAGAAAAAGAAGAAGAAAAAGAAGAAGAAGAAGAAGAGGATAAAAGGGAAGCGAATAACCAAAAATAATAGATAATGCGAATTAGGGTGTAAATTCAGGATGGGGAACGTGACGGGCAAAGAAAATTACGCGGCAGATTTGGCAGGGGTCTTAGTGGATACCAAAACGAAAAGCGTTACTTACACCGGTGTGGAGGTTGATGAGGGAATGAGGAATTCCGGTATCCGTTTGGAAGGCTGGTAACATCCGTTCACCGAGCTGGGCTGCCTTATCCCGGAACATTACGTCTCCCGTGAGAGCGTAACAAGCCAAAAGACTTCCCATAAAACGAATGTTCGTCTCGAATAACGATATCTCTGAGTTCTGGAAAAAGAAAAAAACAAATCAGATTATATTTCAGATTAGATATTAAGAAAAAAGAAAAGAAAAAGAAAAAGAAAAACAGAAAAGAAGTATTCAAGATTAATTAACGATTGAACACATTCATGTAAGCGAATATCTTCTAACCGTACGTATGCGAATACAACTAATAATCGAATTTGAAAATAAAAAAAAATTAAAAGAGAGTTAGTAAATCGAGACAAAATAGTTATTTTTTAAATAATTAGACTTCTTAATTAATTAATTAATTAATTAATTATCGATTTTCTTTGATGTAAAACTTCAAATAGAAAGTTAAACGTTAAAAATAATTCGAAAGTGACTTTAAATCGATGAAACGATGATCGACTATGAAGTTTCTTAACAAGTAAGAATAAAGAGAAGGGATGTACTTTCTAAGAGAAAGAGAAAGAGAGAAATGAAAAAGTAAAACAAGAAGAAAAAGGTCGATTAGATTTGCTCCCGAAAGAAAACTTTATCGGCTCGCTAGTTGGCACGCTCTGCAAACTGGCGAAGCGGTCTGCCCTTTGTGGTCTTGCAATCACGTTAATAGGGTGCTTTCCTTGAAAGTATCAAGGCTGTGCTACTAATCGTGCTCAAGTACCGCTTATTATTTTGATATCGTTTCTTTTTTATTTACTCTTTTTTCTTTAACCTTTTTCGTTTTCATTTTTAATTATTTTTAACGTTAATCTTTCTTTCCTTCATATTTTTATTTTTTTTTTTATTTTTTAAGTACTCGTACACGTCCTTTGATTATTATTATCGTTACTCTTATTATTATTATTATTATTATTATTACTATTAGAATTATAATAGTAAATGTTTGTATTAAATATATTAAAAGTACCATGTTAATTTGTTACTTAACTACTTGGATATATAATTGGAGTAGTTTAACGAAAAGAGTTACTGAGTACGGTTAACGAGTACAATAAATTTCTTCTTTTATTTTATCTATCTATCATTCCATCTATTTATTTCTCGATCTATCTATTTATATATATATATCTATCCTTTTCCATCTTCTCTCACCTTTAGTATTCTCTTCGTTAAGTATGCGTTTATAGTGCATTGTTTTACGACGGGGCTCTTCCTTCCCTCATTTGCTCATTAGTCAACGACGTTTCTCTCTCGCGTGAAAATTATTCTACTCCCTGTTTTCCAGCCTCTTTCTCTTCGAGTTTTAATATTAATCGCGAAGAGAAGAGCCAAGACTTTTATCGCTTTTCTTAATTAATTTTGGTTATCCGCGTTACTTGATTTTCTTACTCGTTTTCTCTTCAAAATCTTATATTTATGTCTCTTTCTTACTTTTTTTTTTTTTATCTTCCTAATCGTTTCATCACAATTTATTTCTATCTAGTATTTAATTCGATAAGAATTCATTCCATTAGTATCTAATTGCCATAATTAATAATATACTTCTATAGAAACTATTAACAAGTAACAAGTAGTTGTTGACAAATTCGTTTATTTCGTTTATTTTTTATTCGTATTTTTTCTTTTTTCGAAACACAAAAAACAATTATTAGTAAACGTTATCGTATTTATAATCAATATAACTGAAATTAGGTTATAATTTATTATATATATATATTTTTTTAGTCTAACATAAGTCCGATCTTTTTTAACCTGATCATGGACGAAATAATCAAGTAGGTGAAAACAGCTGGAGAAAGAGTTAAGCTCGGAGAAGAAAATATAAAAAATAATATGTTACGCCGATGATGCAGTCATCATATTAGAAGATGAAGACGATCTGCAAAGGATGTTATACAAATTCGAAAAAACGGCAGGAAAGCTTAATATGACTATTTCGGTACAGAAGACCAAATCACTCACCATCCCTAAGGAGTCCAGACGATGCAAGTTAGCATTATTATACAACCAAGTGATACGATTTAAATATCTTGGTTCGATCATTACGAGGGACAGAAATCTAGAAGAATCTAAGAGACCAAACAACCAAAGCCTCCATAATCTCTGGATACCTCAGAGATATCATATGGAGAAACAAACATATGAGTATCAAAAGCAAGACACGAATATACAAAACTTATATCAGACCGATAATGACCTACGCGGCAGAGACAAGGACAGAATCCACGATAACAAAACGTATTCTGAGAATTACAGAATAAAACTCACAGAACAGAATTCACTAAGACCCAAGACGTGGTAAGGTGGATAAGAAGGATGAGAAGAGAGTGGTGAGACAATGTAGACAGGATGGACGACAGTAGGCTGCCGAAAGTGGCAAAAACAGGAAAAATATGGACAACGAGACCACCTGGAAGACCTCTAAAACGATGGCATGAAACCTGGACATTATCGTCGCAGGAACAACAAACGCCCTGAAAAGAACTATATAGCTAAAATATAACATTTTAATAAAAAGAAGAAGAAAAGAAGAAGAAGAAGTTTTTTGTAGGCAATTAAAACATTTCTTACAAGTAGTTGAATAAATTTTACTTTGCTAACGTTTATTAAAAGTAGGATTTAGTTTATTGATCGGTTGATTAAAAAATTGGCTCTACCTGCTTAAACGTTATTGTTCAACATTACATTTTTTCTTTCTTTCTTATTTTGTTAGTTTTAATAATATTATATGAACACAAAATTTTAATTAACTTTATAGATAAAAACTGTTTGATTTCATTGAATCAATTTAGTGTATAATAATTGAATGATTTAAGCCCTTTGATAATTACTAAATGCGTATATATACGTCCTGCCATAGTCATCAATATCTACGAAAGACGTTTATTTACGCTCTCTCTCTCTCTCTCTCTCTTTCTTTCTCTCTCTCTCTCTCTCTCTCTCTCTCTCTCTCTCTCTCTCTCTCTCTNCTCTCTCTCTCTCTCTCTCTCTCTCTCTCTCTCTCTCTCTCTCTCTCTCTCTCTCTCTTATTCAGTAATGTATACGAAAAGCGTAGATATATGGCTAATAAAATTTGTGATTGAAAAGCATTTTTCAGTCTCGTTGATATCGATGGTTCTGAGTTTGAATGCGCCGCAGTTAAAGGGTTAAAACATGCTCTCAACGTAAGGTTGAAAGCAACGTCATTAAAACGACACGACGAGTTGACGACGATGAAGGGTCCTTTAACCATCGGATTTCTTTCCAGTTCCTCGTTAAAGTCGACCTATGGTTTCTAGATGTTACGCTTATGTCGTTCGAGGGGACCCCTTTTTTAAAACATATGTGATATTTTCTTTTTATCCCTATCAGTTTACTTTTTCTCTTAACAACTTTTTTTTCTATTTTTCCTAATAAGTTTCGTTAATCGTCCAACCTTGCAATTTATTCAATTAAATAATAAAAAATAATCAAAATTATATAAAAAAAAAGACAGACGTGCCGGAAATTACTCTCGAGAAGATTATCTTTTAAAATTCTGTAAAGTATCTTCTCTTTGTTTTTTTTTTTGGATAATAAAAAGACCACCAAGGAAGGGCCTTTTTTCTTAAAGGTTTTACGAATATCCTAGTGTTAATTGCAATGCAACACGTGTGTCGATCGAAGCTGTCGCTGCTAAAACGAGCGACAAGCTGGCCGTAAATAAACATCAAGGACGATGAGCACGGGTGCAAATTAGAGGTAAGCGTGATAATGTAGCGAATCGGGTCATCGATCTCATGTCCAGACCACGACCGGCCCGTATCGGAACGTTTGTTTAAACTCACACGTCCGAAATTGCTTGCGAAATACTAACTATTTCAAGTTCTTTTTTTTCTTTTTATAAACGAGTCAATCATTTTATTATACATAAGTCTATGCAACACAATACGCATATATATTTTCTTTTATTTTTATTTACTTGATTATTTTTACAATGACGCGGCGGAATTTGTTAATTTGTTTGTTTTAAATATCAACAAAAGAAAAATGTAATTTTTTGTTCTTTTTATTTACTTGAAATTTGTATTGTTTATCGCATTGTTTGATTTGTGCGTTATACGTGACAATTGTTTTTTTTTTAAATTATTTTTATCGATGAGTATATCGAAAATCTTGGATAATTGTTTTTCTGAATTATTTTTTTTCTTTTTCGAGACGATACAACATTTTTCTTTTGCCAATTCGAAATAATTTTAATAAATTATTGTATTGTACTATATATGTGCGTATTAGTATAATTTTTAAATAATTCTCATTTATTTTTCCAAGATAGTTTACGTTACCCTCAGCTAGAGTTTTTCTTCTACGAAGAAATATTTAAAATGTACATGTACTACGATAAATGTTTAGAGAAGATATTCCACGAGATCTGTTTTCCGTAATACGCTTCGATGATTTTCGTAACGATCACTTCAACTATTCCTCGACATAGAGAGAGAGAGAGAGAGAG